AATAGAGAACAAGAAGGGAAGTGTAATCATAGTACATTACCTAGCTAAGCAGTAAACAATGCTTACAGTTTTAAAAAATTATGAAATTCTGAAAGTAGACTTAATCTAAAATTGTGATAACATTATATTGGGAGGATGAAGAGCTGTGAAAGAGAGAGGAAATAGCATTAATTATCTTATCATAATGAATGTCAGATCATACCAAGCATGCTAACCTAAAGACAACACATATATTAATGAATGTTTTAATGTGCATGTATTATTTAATAGAAATATTTTAAATAAACCAAAAAAAAAAAAAAAACAAGAAAGGAGCAAAGTGAAAATGACTAAAATATATAATACAAAACATTTAAAGTACATCTCAAGTAGAAAAACCTTCAAACAGATACTACTACTACTCCACACAATATACACAATCCCAACAATAAGTTCAATTAGTTATCCCATCACTTTTTGTGGAACGTCAATTGTCAAAATTAACATTTTTAGGCAAAAATGCTAGGACAGATTACCAATGGAAATGTAAACATTTTGCAAAGCAATTTGGCACCATGTCTCAGAGCATAATATCTGACTCAGTCTTAAAAGAATGCATACCTTTGTGCCCCAAAACTTCATGTATGGGAATTTTTCTTAAGGAGATAAGTAAGAATTTTCATAGAAACTCACTAACTCAAAGGTATTCTCTGAAAAACTCTTTAAAATATTTAAAAGTTGGAAAAAACAGAACTATCCCCTAAAAAAGAAAAATAGTTAAATTATAAAACACAAAGAGAACAGAGTACTAACAGCCATTAAAAGCAATGTTTTAAAGGAGAGAGGGAGGGAGCAAATCAGTAAGATAAGAGGGAAGATACTTCGAGGGAAGGTTATGAGTGCATATATGGATTTAAATATGGAAATCTTATTGCAAAGTTGGTAAAAACATAAGTTTTGGGATCTGATATTCAAACTCGGCTTTTCCATTTCCTACCTGACAATTTTGAATTTGAACTTCAGGTCCCTGTCTATAAAGGTGAAATACTACCTTTTCATAATACTATAATAAACCTTAAAAAAAAAAAAGTATACAAAACACAGTGCATGCTTGTATAATAGTAAATGCTAATAAACAGTTTTTTACTGTTGCTGTTGTTGTTGTTGTTCTATTAAACCACTATTTGGATTAAGTCAACTTTACAGAAGTATGGAAGTAAAAAAATACTGTTGTTAAAGATTTGCTTATTTCTAAGTAACTGTCTTAATTATTTACATCAATAAGCATGCACTCTGTAAGTTTATTCACATTTCAGCCATACCCAGAACTGAGAATGTAATCATCTACTGCCTCTTACAGTTTCACAGGAGAACTGATTGTTCTGGGATAATGTAAGCTAAAATTATTTAAACAATAGAATTGTGTTTCTGTTTAATTTATACCTTTAGCTGTCTTTGCAATTTATAAAATGATTTTGTTCTGCTAATTTTAGTTGTGAGAGTGGCATTTTAGTTTTAGGTTTTGACTATCCTGCAACATTGGTCAAGAATTTGCCCAAATCTATTAAAAAAAATAGACCTTATCTTTTAGTGTAGATCTAGTATTCTTTCCATTTATATCTCATTGTTTCCTCTTCTTGACATTTTTATAAATGTTACTGATAACTAAGCCTTTTTACTTACTCATTTTATAGCTCCAATATGTAAGAGCCTCTATTGTCACTATGTAAAAGTTATCTAAATAAAGCCATTTGAAAGAAAAATTACAGTGGATTAAGAATCATGTTACTTTGAAAAGACATCCTTTTATTTTAGAGGCTACTTGAAAAATGGTATCATACTACATTTGTATGAAACATTTTCAGGAAAACATTGCATAATTTTATTTAAGTAGGTATTACCTAAATGAGGTTCTTGAGATTTACATAGAATGAGTAGCAACTTAGAAAAAGCAGCAAGGAAGACAATGCTTTTGTTTTATGGTAACATTACAAGGATGTTAACAAAGTGGAAAGGATCAGCTAAGGCTCACAAGTCATTTCCAGTTCTTGATGGCTGGTTTATTCACCACTACTGCTGATACCGCTTCTCAGGGTAGAAGTCATTTACTCTTTTTGCCAAGCGGGAACCAAAAATAATACAATAGTGAGTGGGAAACCACTAAAACTTTATTGTATTAATAAAACTTCAACAATACAAAAATATACCCAAAGTTATTATCACTAGGGAGAAATAGATTCTATTCAATGGTACATTTTTCATTTATCTCCAGGAGGCAACATAACTAAACAAATGGACAAAACATTATCATCTCCAAAGAAAATGAGACAAGAACAAAATTTAAGTAAAAACATTTTTTGTTTTTTGAGGAGGGTTGTTAAGTTTGGAACATTTTAAGGAAAGTTATAGTAGAATCTATAAGGTTATCATGAAAATGTCTTCCTGAAAGTAGGGGGGAACATGGATCAGATGCAAGGCTGCTTCAGATCCTTTAATTTCCTCACTTTCATTACTCAGGAAAGAAAGGAAACTTTTACTATGTACAACACATATCAGTGGGATTAGAATTAACACATTTCAGATGCATTTCCTACAATAAAGATAAATTTCAATTGCCACTAGAGGGAGTTTATCTTGCTTAATTAATTCAATTGAAGGTTAGAAGAGCTTCAGGTTAAAATTGTCATATATTTAACCCCAAATCTGTATGGAATTGTATGTTTAAATGGGCATCTATAGCATACGTCTTATATGTATGCTATAACATCTTTTCTCTTTAAGTAAATTAAAATGGTTTTCACTGAAAGGATCAAAGTTCAATCTTAATAGCATTTTCAGCTCAAACAAGATGTATTTTTCTGACAATATTGGCATATTTTTAACTTCATTAGCTACAAACTATTAATTTAACTAAGAAAACATACTAAGCTTAATATTAGGCTTTCTGGCCACATTCCTAAAATGAGCTTTGACTAATTGCATTGTAAAGCTAACTATTTCCATTCAGGTGAAAATAATTTGTAAACAATTTCACATGACTAAAAATGTCAATACTAAGCTTTTCTTCTGGAGCAATGCAGTGACATTTTAAGGCATTTACATGACTAGAAGTAACGCATGGTGCTCAACAAAGATCTGACAAGCATATACTAACTAAATAAAATAAGGGTAATGTGGGAATGCATTAGCCGACACTGTATTACAAGAGATCTTTAAATTCAAATATATTAAAGTCTTAGGAAGTATAATAAACTACTGAATAAATTAAAAGGTACATCTTACATAAATAAAAGGAAAACGTAGTATGTTTAAAAGGAAAATCACTAATAAAATGTTAATTAAAAGTCCAGAATGTCAAACTTTGTAATAAATACAAAAATAAGGCATCTGACTTTTCTTTCAAGTCATCTAGGCTCTTATGTAACACACTGACATGAACTCAGTAACTTAAAAATCCATTAGGGAGATCTTCAAGTTTTATGGCTATACACATAAAACTCATAATATGTATATTATGATTTATTTTAAGTGTACAATAGCTACGTAAAACAGACATTTGCAATGCCTCTCAGTTTTACCCAAGAACAAAATCAAACTAGACAAAAACATTTCCATATAAGAAATCACTCCACAAAGTGCAAGTTTGTAAATCAATGTCACAGAACTGCCAAGAGAGAAAATTGCTGACTCGGCAGTATTCCTAATGTCAGGCACACTGCAGGATCAGACTTCCAAATTATAATCAGTCATATCCACGTTAATGTCAAATCTAGATCTGAAGAACTATGATCTTCAGATTAAAATTCTAAAAGAAAAACAGAAGTCCAGAATAAAGAAACTTTTAACCAGGTAGTGGTTTTAGATATAAATCTTAAACTGCTTTTTTTCTGATTTGAATTTTTTACCTAAATTAAGTTTTAAGCAGAGTGCACAACATACTTCTAATTGGCTCCGGATAAACTCTGTGTTCTTACACTTGTTTATAAAAACTTGGAAAATGTGAAGCAAATTTAACTCAGAGATAATAGGAATAAACACACACACACACACACACACACACACACAGCCAACTCTCAAGAGTAAATCTGTCTCAAGCATGGATTTATTTTTCTGGAAAAAAAAAAACAAAAATAAAAAAAAACTTTTTAAAGTATTTGCCATCTCACACAAATATCCCACCAAAACAAACAAACAAACAAAAAATCTGTTTGCAATCACTCTTATTAGAATTGACAAAACTTTGGAGTAGGGGAAGGGGAATGAAGAGAAAGTTACCAAGACTGAAAACGTCTGTTTCACTGATTCCCAGTTTCAAATATGTTCCTTTACAGAACCTAAAACTACCGCAAAAATGATGAACTCTCCAAAAAAAAAAAAAAAAAAAGTAGCTACAAAACAAACAAACCCCCACAATCTCCCCACTGTCCCTTGCCCACTGCATTCACTCACACCTGCTACCATCGCTACCCTTTTTGCCAATAGGGTCAGGTTGAGCATTGCAAAATCCCTTCCCAATGATAAAGGCCAACAACACACAGCTGGTTGCGCCTAAGTCCTCAGAGGACCTTCAGAGGCTGCGGGCCCCTCCTCAGCGCCCACAGCCATCACCTGGCCCCGCCAGGAGTGAGAGTCAGTCCTCCAGCCTCCCCTAAGAGGATATGAAAAAGGAGAAGGGGATCCCAAGCCGGGTTCACGTGAACTAATCCACCGGCCCCACAGGCAGAGACCAGAGCTGTCAACAAACCAGGACCCCAGGAGAGAAAACAGCTGCGAGGGGGTGGGGTGGGGGGTGAGCGGGTGCCGGTGAGCTGGGGCCGGGGGGCGACTCTTTCCGTGCAATTGATTAAAAAATGGCAAACGCCCGAGGCCTGAGCGTCTGCACCCCGCCCCGAAGCTCCATTCCCCCCGGGGTCAGGGATGGACCCGGTCCGCACCGCGCCGGGATTTGGGGGAGAGAGGAGGGGCGGCGTGGGGGCGCCCACAGCCCCCCGCGGCCAAGACGCGCTCGGACCCGCACTCACGTTTTCTGCACGGGCTTCCGCCGCTTGCGGCTGGCGTAGGTGATGTTGGCGCTGCCGCCGTTCATGGTGCCCGGCAGCCGGCAATTCCTCCCGGGGCTCGGGCGCCGGCCGCCCGGTCTCCGCCAAGAAGCCGCGCGCCCCACCTGCGTCCTCCCTCCCGGGCGGCGGGGACACCAACGTCCGAGCCGCGGCTCCCGCAGCGCCGCGCGCCCAGGTGCGCCGCCCGGGCCCGGCGCGGGGGAGCGGGCGGGAGGGGCGGCGGCGGGCGGAGACCCGGAGCGAGGCGGCGGCGCAGGTGTCGTCTCCACCGGCGGAGGCGGAGGGAGGCGGCGGCGGCGCGGCGCTGCCCGCCCGCAGGTGAGGCGGCCCGGGGAGAGGCGGGCGGAGCCGGAGCCGCGCGCCTGGAATCCCGGCCGGGGTCGCGCGCGGCGGGGCCTCGCCCTGTGACCGTGACCGTGGCCGCGGCCCCTTGGGTCAAGTAGGCGCCGCCGCCGCCGCCGCACGACTCCCTCCAGGGGCTTCCCCAATCCTGGGTGCTTCCCGCCAGGAGCCGGAGCTCTGGGGCCGCCGCCGCTCCCGGTGCCACTGGCTTCCGCTCGGCTTCGCGGCTGCCCCGGGTCCGAGCCGAGGATGGTCCAGGGCACGCTCCCGGCGCCGCCTCGCCTTGCACCGCCGCGCGCACCGGCCGAATCCCTGTAGCGCCCCGACCCCTCTCTCCGGCCACGCCCAGTCCCGTATAGCCCCGCCCACTCCGACTGGACCACGCCCCCTCAAGCCCTCTTAAGGGCCCCGCCTTCCCCGCACGTGATGACGTAAGTCGTAAAGACGGCCCGCAGAGGCCATGTTCTGGAGGTCAAGGGTTGGCTCTTGTGGCCACAGTTCAGACCTGAAAAAAAAGGTGCAATAACAAATTGTGCGTAGCCAGACTCTTTGTGGCTGGAGGATCTGAAGCATAGACGTGCCAGGGCGTGAGCTTAACTTCACCTGCAGGAGAGGCAGTGACTCACACCTCTACTTTTGGCTGGGAATTCCTTGTAGTGAGCTGGCAGGTAAACACACAGGGGCTCCAAATTTTCCCAGAGGGAAGGGCTTCAGGAGGCCACAGAGTTAGCATTTAACTGGAGAGCATCTTGCTAAGCGAAACAAGGCAGTCGGAGAAAGATAAATATCACATGGTCTCGCTCACTTGTGGAATATAATGGAGGACATAAACTGATGAACAAAATTAAGAGACAGAGCATGGATCAGACCATCAAACCCCAGAGGGAAGGCAGGGGCGGGTGAGGGTAAGGGAGAGAGATCAACAGAAGAACTTGTATGCATGCATTTAAGCCTAACTAATGGACACAGACACGAGGGGTGTGAGGACATAAATGGGGAGTGGGGTGGGGAGGCAATGGGGAGATAGGACACATATGTAATGCCTTAATCAATAAAGAAAAAAAGGAGGGGGGGAAGCTAGGAGTTTCCTAGGCTTTTGTTTGTTTTTGGTCTCTATACTTCAGAACTGCTTTTCCCCAGCCAGAATCACTTTTGCTATTTGTAGTCAGATTTCAACTAGGTTGAATGGAAGGAAGAAGAGGGAAGCGGGAAATATTCGGGGATAATAAGTAGTCAGTTATAGCTGGACAGAGGGATTGGGAGAGATGTTCGGCAATTTTAGGGTCAAATCATAAAGCCTTGTTAAAGGGCCTGGATTTCACCAAAACCGGTTTGGCTCAGTGGATAGAGCGTCGGTCTGCAGACTGAAAGGTCCCAGGACCGATTCCGGTCTAGGGCATGTACATTGGTTGCGGGTACATCCCCAGCATGGGGTGTGCAGGAGGCAGCTGGTCGATGTTTCTCTCTCAATGACATTTGTATCTCTCTATCCCTCTTCCTTCCTCTATGGAAAATCAATAAGATATATTTAAAAAATAAATAAATAAAATAAAGGGCCTGGATTTCATTCCCTAGGCAGCAAAAGCTTTTTGAAGACATTCAGCAGGAAAGTGACATTCTATTGTCTTGCAAAAGTCACTAGGAAGAAAGTGAAAACTGGATGACAGGAAATCAAGACTGGTTGCAGGGAGAGTAGTTAGGGATTTGTTGAAATAATGCAGGTGTTAAGTGCATGGGAGTGGCAGTGGAATTGGGCAAAAGACAAAATATAGAAAAGGATAAGGTAATAAAGGAAGAGAGAGCAATGTTAAATGGCTCCAAGATTCCTGACTCTTTCTGTGCTGTTAGTGAACACAGAGGAGTGTTTGCTTGTCAGGAGCCAAAGGGCACCCAGGTTAAGATATCTGGATGACAGTTCACACCATGTCCATTCCTAAATTGTAAAGTGTATAAGCCATTCCCCCCTGGTAAGTCTGTTACCTCAAATTCTGTGTAAATTAAATTCATTGTCTTTAGCTGAGACTTTTTCATCGGCTCTGCCATTCTCTTGATCAACCCTTGAATCTTCAGTCCCTCTACAATTTATATCTAAATATTCCAGCAAATGCTATTAAATTTTGTTCTTTGTGACAGTCATAGTTTATTTCCTTTTGCCTTATTATTGAATACTATTAGAGAGAGCATGCCCAGCTAAGTGTCATACCATTTGGGAGTCCTCACAAGTGATTATCCCCTCTATACATTAAATCAAGAGATGTTTTGGATGGTACCTCCCAGTGTGCCTGAAATTGTGCTTAGGACTGGGGAGACAATGGTGAGTAAAACAGAAAGGGCCCGTTCTCTTGGTGATTGCTGTCATGGAGAAGTACATAATTTTCTAGTAGATGAGTTTGACTTACTCATTGAGGTGAAAAGAGACTTCCTCCCAAACTGATGATTAAGCTGAGGTCTGAAGGACAAAGTAGACTTAGCTAGAAGAAAGAGAGGAAGAGCTTTTCAAGCCAGTGAAACGGTAAAGCGATGTCCCTTTAGGCAGGAGGCTAACAGGTATAAGGGAATAAAACACGTTCAGCATGATCAGGGGAGAAGGGCACACATGATCATACTTGTGTTTCAAAAATAATACCATATTGTGAAGAGCAGATTAAAGAGGGAGGAGCAGAGTAGAATGGGTGGAAGTAATATTTCTTAGAAAAGTATTTATGGTAGCTTAGCCAAGAAGTGGCAATTATTGATGCTATGGTGGAGGTGATTGTGGCAATAAATAAAACTGAATTGATTCCCAAGGTATTTGGGAGGTCTTGGAAAATGGAGCAGATAGATGATAGTGAAGACAGAGCCTGGGTCAAAAATATAAGGTTTTGTGGGGGCTATGTGTCTGGTTAGGTGATAATGGAATGTACTGGTGAGAAATTATTAAATCAGCTTTGGTTTTCTTACCTAAGAGACTCTAAGATGTCAAGTGGACCATAGCACATACAGGTTTGTAACTCAAAGAAGGTGTGTAAGCTGGAGACAGATTCAGACATCATTTAAATTGAGGTGGCAAAAGCATGGAAGTTATAGGGTGTGACTATACACTAGAAAAGAAGAACTAGGTCCCAAAGAACTTTACTGTGTTATATCTGATGGGTGGATAGGGGATGATGGTCCTACAAAATCAACAAGAAAGAGTTGCTAGGTTGGTAACAGGAGAATAAGGACAAGACAGAGAAATGTCAGAAGTGGTTAACAGTATTGAATGCTGTTGAGAGGTTCCAATGAAATGAGAAATGGAAATATATTTTTTGACTTTTCAACATGGAGTCATTGGTGACTTTAGTGACTATGTTGGTGGCTAATGGACCTGTTATTTAGATCGAATTAGAGAGGAAATGATGTTGGCAAACACAATTTCTCTTGAAAACTTTGGCTATGAAAGAGAGAGAGAGAGACCTAAAATGTTAGCTAGGGGGCGTAAAGAGTTAATTTTTTTTTTTTTTTTTAAATGGGTGATCTACTTAAGCAGTTGAAAGAGGAGAGAAATTGAGTTTGCTGTGCAAGAAAGACAAGGAGCAGTAAAGGGACAAGATATACATAAAAACAGGAGGGATTGGTGCCAAAGCACAAACAGGAAATTGGGACTTTAGTGGGTTACAGAAAGCAGAAATAGGTCATCTACTGCTTCACTCTTCAAAGAGGTCCACAACTTCTCTGGATGTCCTTACCAAGTCAGACAGAGTCTCGCGTTAACAAGATCTCCCAGGTGAGTCAAATGGACATAAAGTTTAAGGAGCGCTGCTGTCCAGAAGCTGGAGATAAGGAGGGTGGTGGGTGAAATGTAGCAGGCCGGCAATGTAGGATCAGAAAGACGAAGTTGTTGTGATGGGGGTATTACAGCGTGAGCTACAAAGAAACAGGTGTGTTTTATGGTTGATGGGTTTGCTTTATATTTTAACTCTACAAACTATACAGTAAAAGGGATCTGGGAGTGGTAGCAGGGAACTATGTGGATAGCAACACTGTATGGTGGGTGTATGATGAGGGAAAATAATTAGGCACCATGTGGGAGAACTTCCCAAATGTTAGGACAAGGATAGCCTTAGAGAGAGCCAGCTTTCAGTTAAAGGCAAAAGAATGGAGCCACTTCCCAAAGAAGACAGGGGAGTTTACTGTTTATGGATTAGCAAGCCCACAAACACAGAAACAATGGTAGTATCCAACATATTCCTATCCTCTTAGAGCTTACATTGCCATGGGAGACACAAAAATTAAGTAGTTATGCAAACAAATGCATAATTGTAACTGTGATAAGTGCTAGAAAATGAATTCTCTGAGAATAAAACAAGTGAATTTCACTTGGTTAGGGGAGGTTGGCCTGAACAAGCTCGAGCAGAATTCTGAAGCATGAATAGGCATTTTCCTTTTAGGTAAAGTGGAGAGGAAATGGTATTCCATCCAGATAGAACATTTATCACAATGTTTATCTCCTCTTCAATCTTGCAGCTCCTTACCCCAGGCCCTTAGAATGATCTACTAGTATTCCATTCATACTCTTTTATATATTAGATTCACATATTGTAATTATAGTTAACTAGAGGCCCCAGGCATGAAATTAGTGCAAGGTGCCCCCCCTCCCCACTGCCACCGCAGCCTCTGCCTCGGCCCCCTCCTGATACAGCTTTGTCCAGAAGGGCATCCAGTC